GACACAGCACAGCCAGTACTGAATACAACCAGTATGGAGCAAGAATATATTTATAATTTCTGTAACATTTGTTTCTGTCCTCTATTGTACATAACAGAAGCTCTCATTCCAACAAAATAAAAATACTCTAAAACATTGGCCCAGTGTGTTCGGTCTCGTTTATGTGATGTATTGCTTTCTAAAGTTTCAAATACACATTTATATTACATTTTTAAATCTTAATACATTTTAGTTCTACCACACCATTTTAGTGTCATGGTCAGCTGCAATGTTGTCGTCTTTGGTTGTTTCCAAATTTGGTCAAGAGACGCATGACTAAAGTATTCAATAAACGGTAAGATACAGTATGTAAAACAGTGATAACCGTATTTTGACATTTATGTCTCTGTGTTGGTGACAGCCATTGCTGGACAGATAATGTTTTTAGGGTGTCCATCTGTCCGTAAGTACGTCCTATTTTTGTGAACAAGCTATTTCGAACACCCTATGGAAATTCTTCAGATTTGGCACAAACGTTTACTTGGACTAGATGATGAAATTATTAAATTTTGATGGTCTTTGTCTGTCTCATTATTGTGAACAGGATATTGCAAGAAGAATGCCTTGAATGAATTACCTCACATTTGGCACAAACATCCATTTGGATCCAAGGATGATCCGATCAGATTTTGGTGGTCAGAGGTCACTGTGACCTCACAAAATAACCATAACTCTGTAATTATGACAACATTTCACACAAATGTCTAATAGGGCATAATGATGAAGTAATGACGTATCCAAAAGGTCACCTTCACTGTGACATCTCAATGTTCTACAAAAACACTTCTGGACGTTATTCAATGCCATGAATTCGCAGCAGAAGGGGAGACATTTCGTCAGAAAATTAATTTGGTGACACTGATCTTAGGTGTCAACCTTGAAACAGTGGTGACTGTACAGATCTGTGCTGTCGGGTTGAGGAACTGTGAAGAATCCACATTTTGCCAAAAGTACACTCAATACCTTTTATTGAATTCCTTCACACTCTTAACATGGATGTAAACTGCAACAAGTGTGTGGAGGCATACAACTGCAAGGCGTTTATTGTAGTTTGGTTACTGCTTTATTGGTTAAGAGCAGCATGACTAAAGGAAATCTTTTGTAAACTGTGAAATACAGTATGTGAGCATGACGTCTTACCAACCTTATTCTGAAGGTCATTTATACTGTCATGCATAATCACCCACATTATCCAGTAAAATGTCTTAAAAGTAGATTTGGAAGATGAGTAGAAAGGCCATGAAGAAAATGAGCCTTGTCTTTGAAGGATCCAGCATGTTAAAATCACTGATTCAAGTTTTGAGGACACATTGTCACCTCAACATTTAATTCTATGACTATTGGCAGGACTGAAATCCATACATCACAAATATTCAATGTCGTTATGTCTAGTAGTCTTCTGTTTTAGTCCAAGGAGGAGTCTTAGCTCCTCCCAGCAAGGAGTTTAGGGCACACCTGTGTTTCCTCAATCTAAGCTCCTCCAGGTGCCTCCTCATCTCCTTGAGGGGCATTTAAGGGATGGGAGGATCCTCCGTGATCGTGGAGAGGGCATGATTTTCAGGTCACAAGAGGAGAGAGGATGCAAGAAAGCGTAAGTTTGTGTGATGAAAAGCACCCACAGACAGTAGATAAGATTAATGAGCACAGCTGCTATTGCTACATTTTAATTTTTATTCCTGAAAGCAAACCAGTTGTTGTTTGATTGTGCCTGTGTTCTGTCATCTCATTATACATCTGGTAAATCAGTGATCCATGGTTTGAGGTCAAATTTGAAGTTGTAGGACACCCACTTGCATTCTGCCACTGTTTTCTCAGCTTTTGTCATTGCCCTTTTGCAGTCTGTAATTAATACCACCAATTGCTGGCCTATGTGATTGGGTTTTTTTAATCTAGAATTGAACCATATTGCAAACTTCAGTGTGCACAACAGTCACAGTGATGCCACTGATCACACTAATTGTGATGAGATGCTGTCTGATACTTTATCAGATCCAGAACATTACGTCAGTAGGCTACTTGAATGATAAACCAGGACCTGCTGTGTTATTTATGTTGTATCTTGAATCATAGCGATGACATCATCTTGGATCCCTGTGTAGTCCTGCGTCATGCTGTGACAATAACGCTATTGGTATCCAACCCACGACATCTCCGTTTGCTGCTGGATGACATTTCTGTGACCCATGTTTGTTTATCTGAGGGTAACTGAGATGGTTCGTAATCCTGAAGGTCCCCGAGGGCCCAACTATTGTAATCAGGCAGCAATTGTAATATTCATATCATTAGTCAGATGAGGATAAGTCCCTTGATGGGCTGGACTGGAGGTGACTCAGGAAACGAGGTAGGCTTTGTCTTGTTGGTCTCCCTCCTGGGCCTGACAGCTTCTTCCTCCTTGTTCTCCAGAGGGCTTTCTCTACGATAGCTCCCATCTAACCTCCCAAATCTTCCCTCCTCTGTTCTGTAAATAGAGACATTTGTGTACTGATACACTATGTTCCATTAAATGGCAATAATGCACATTGTCCAGCACTTTGATTGAAATTTTCCGTGTCATACGAGGACACATGTGCACATAGCTGGAGTGGCTGTTGTTACACAACATCAGTGAAAAGAGCTGATACTGATTATTGGATCCTTAATCAAGACTATTATTCCTAAATTGGAACCCAAGGAGCAAATCTGCAGTTTCTTGTCTTCAACTTCAATTATTATGAAACACATAAATCCCATTTCAAGAAATGCAATTGCCTCCCTAAACTCTAATTGATGACACATTTAGCAGCTGCTACCCCCAAGTAAATGCTTCCTGTAGAGTTTAATCACTGTCACAGTAATGTGGAAGAATTTGGGGCTGCTCTTTCATGTAGAACTGCTTTTTTTCAGTTTGTGATGTAAGATGCTTGTTGTAGATCCTGGAGATTTATCTTTAGTCTGACTATCTAATGAGAAAGCATGCTGCTTTAGCAAAACTACAAACTAAACAAATATACAGTGCATGCATGACATTCATATGGCCTTGTAGTATCACACCTTTGACCTTTGTCTCATCAAAGCCATGATGCAGTTAAACTAGATGGTTTGAGGACTTTGGTAAACCCCTCTGGTCTTTTGAGCACTGTTTCAGTGATCCTGCTGATCTCCTGGGCTTAAGATGAGAGATGTTTCCTTCAGTGAGATTGTCACTCTTTCAAGAAGGAGAGTCTTGATCCTGTATGTCAGGAGAAAGGAGCAGCATATTTTGGAATAACAGAGATGCCCAGTGGTTACACAAACAGTCCAGTAGCTTAACTTTAGGGGATCAGCTGTGATCCATACAGTTATGTGTCACCAACAAAATGATCATTTGTCTTTATAACTTTATTTTTCTCACAAGCCTCCGAGGTAAACGAAGAATCCAAAAACCGAGAAAATTATTGATGAATTGGAGTAAAAAGAGACCATGTTTAACAACAGCAAAACTTTATCAAAACATCCATTTAGTGCAAGTGCATATGTTTGGGAAGTTCTGAGCGTACGACTGGAAAAACAAGACTTGGATTATACTGTGCCAGTTGTGTGTGAGTTTGTAAAGAGATGTTTTGATATAGTTTTGCTGTTTAAGATCAAGATCAAGATTAACTTTATTGTCGCACAGAGTGGGAAGTTTCTCTTGGCTCCATCACCCATACTGCAGCCATACAAATACAATATACAACATAGTGCACAGACAAATCCACATTATACCCAATGTAGCAATAAGAAACACAAAATGATAAATAAATAAATAACATCACATGCTAAAAACAACCTCTATAAAAATGCAAATCACCAAATCATCGTCGATCGTAATCCAGTGCCAGATCTGGCTTTATCTGCCATTGTTTAAAGGCTTCATAGATAGAAGTATGAATGTTTTTTTTAAAAAAAAAACAAACAAATCTGTTCAGTCTGCAACGAGGCACTCTAAATCTCCTACCAGGGGGCAGCAGCCCATACTCTGTATGCAGAACATGAGAGGAGTCATTGATGATCTTACTGGCTTGACTTAGAGTCACTGTTCAAAAAAAGACTGCATGGAAATGTACTCTTTGACACCTATTATTTTCCACGCAGTGTGGATCAATCGAACAGTTTTTTAACTGCACAGAGAGGTTACTGAACCTAGCTGTGATGCTATACTTAATTAGGCTCTCGAAGACTGCCTGATTAAACATTATCATAAATATTTGATCATTTTTGATGTAAGAAATTCCAGTGCTGTTGTAATTTGCTACAGAGACTGTCAACATGTGTGTTTCAGGTTAGTGAGTTGTCAACAAAGACATAGAGATATTTATATGGTGACACCTGTACGATGGATTGGTTGTGGATGACCACTGGTGTGTGGTCACTGACTGCCCCTGCGTCAAACACCATCTCTTCTGTCTTGTCAACATAACATGTTGTTAAACAAGGTCATCTATGACTTCATATCCATCAGCAATTTTCTCAGTTTTTTGGATTTTTCGTTCACCAAGGAGGCATGCGAGAAAAACAAAGTTCCCTTCACAGACACAAATGACCATTTTGTTGGTGAGGTATTTCTTCAACGATGGATCTTGGTAATTGACACTGACTTTCCATATTGACACCACAGCCCGACAGTAATGCTTATAAAAAAATATGGAAATGAATAAAACTGAACACATTCACTCACAGCAGATGCTTCAAACAACTGCATTAGAAATTGCACACCTGGGAAACCCAATAGCTCACCTGGTAAAGCAGGCACGCCATGCACAAAGGCTATGTATTGCCACAGCAGTCATGGGTTTGATTCTAATCTTCAGCCTTTTGCTGCATGTCATCCCCCTTTGTTTCCCCTTTCATGCTCACCCTGTCCTATCTAATTAAGGCAAAAAAGCCATAAAAACTAACCTTTAAGAAAATATATCACACACAAACACAATAGGAACAACAAAGATGATCACAGCAATCAGTAATAGCATCTCAGTGATAATGTTGTCTTACCACCATCTTTTAACATTTATTCTTGCCATTGCAATAATGACACTATGGACACCCAGTCTGCTGCTTTCTTTTGTTTTTTTTGCAGTGTGTTGGTACTTAACTTTTGAACGCAGATGTTATTGTGCTTTGGCTGCAGACTGGGGCAACTATCCTATTCATTCTGTTGTGATTACCATCTTGTTATTTTTAGAAAGAGAAAGACGGCAATGAGTGTAGAGGAAATGAGATGAAATGAGGGGAGGGTGACGGGGTGTGGAGATGTAAAAGACCAACATAGAGGGGAAGGGTTAGTGTCACGGTGAAGACCGACGTGGATGAGGACAAAGTCGTGGATGAGCAGGCAGAAGTCCAGTTGAAGATCTGACTGCGTGCCGCACAGGTTGATCACCCCGTAGTTCCAGAAGAAGAAGAAACCAGGAGACAGAAGATACAGTACCGCAGGATATCTGAGGGTCAGAGACAAGAGATCATTACCTGCTTTAGACCAGAGGAAGGAGAAGTGCCTTTTTGTCAACCTTCTACAGTGGTGACACTGAGTAAGTATTGATTGTGATTATGACACTTGATGCTTACCCAGGTTAATGTGTACAAATTTCAGAAAATACTGCATGATTATTAGGGAGCTGGACAAAATATTGAATCATTTATAGGACAAGTGGACCTAATATTGGAGAATCTATAATTATCTGCAGAAAACTGTATAACTGAAGTAGTTTCAACGTGTTTTTCTGTCTTTTTATAATGTATATTTCAAATCTATCTATATTTCAGATCATTTGTCTCCATTTGTGCATTGGCAGGAAGCACTGAAATGTTAATCTTTCGTAGATGCTCTGGAAAATACATTTACAAATCATTTAGGAATTTGATTGTTATGAATTGCATCACATTCATACATTCCCATTTAATAGCATCCTGTTTTCCATCATTGCTTTAGAGGGATTTGCACATAAAATAAGTAAAAATTTGTGTTTTCTGATTTTTTTGTTCAAATTATTGCAAAGAAGAACATTCCTGATGCATGCCATCACTGAGAGAAGCCTTGCAGTGTCACAGTTGTGTAATTTTAAGCGACTGACTGATATGTTTTTCTCTCCCTGCAGACACACAGCATCTTGACCATGAGAAATGTGCGTGTGTGTTTCTGCCTGGCTCTGCTGCTGCCTTGGTGCGTCCAGAGTCAGATGAGCAATCCCGCTCTTGCTAAACTCGATGAGGACACACAGAGGGGCATGCTGGCTGTCGACATCCTGAACCGCAGTGGTTTGTTGAACTCATTGCTCCGATCAGAGCATCACATTGTGCTCCGGCCAGAACGAGCCCCTCGCCCAGCCTCCCAGGTGCCAAAGAGAGCCCAGCAGGGGTCTCGCTTCGCCCTGTCCCTCGATGTTCCCACCAGTATCCTCAGTGTCCTCATAGACCTGGCCAAGAACCAGGACATGAGAACCAAGGCGGCAGCCAACGCAGAACTGATGGCACGAATAGGCAAGAGGAAATAAGATGCGGGGCCCCTGGGAGCTGTCAGGGGCTCGATGGACGAAGTCTCACCTCACAGAGGAGTTCTCACATTGTTGCAGCGACACTATTAGAAACAATGCTAGTTCAGGTGAAAACAGTCATTACGGTCAGTATCTGTCCTTTAGAGCTTAGATCTGCTTTACTTTTATACCACGTTCTACACCCAGACTCCTCCATGGACTGACTGAAACAGAAGATAAAAGAAAGAATGATGTAAACCATAAAAGGACACTGCAAACAACATCACACAAAGTAACATGAAGCTGGTCCTTTGTCTCAGAGATTATTCACCCGTGGGCCATAAAGTGTGATCAGGTTCTGAAATCTGTTTCTTGTGTTTGCATGTGTAATCTTGAATGCAAAGAAAAGATTGTTCAATTAAATCCAATATGAGTATCACATTTTTTTTCTCAAGTCTAATTCATTTCACTCTGCATTGATATCAGGCATGCTTAGTATAATTACAAGCATCAGCAACCCATAAAACACAAATGAATGGGTCTGATCCAAATGAGCTTGCGTCACCCACTGTGGGGTCTGATATGTGATAACAAGACAAAGACATGGGCAGGATATTGACCTCTGAAAGAACAACAGACCCCTTCTATAGACCTTTGTTCACTCATACTTGATAAATTTGGCAAACAAGTCGCAGCTATTTTAAGTCTGATGCATTATCTGCTCTACATTACACTAATATCTCCGTGGCATGATTCATCTGTGCTCCTGCAGTGAGCATGAAATGGGAAGCAACAGAGTGAAATAAACTGCTCATCTGATTTACATTTGAGTTTGTTCAGTTTACGCCGGTCATGACCTTGAGTTATTTCTCGTATCACTTCAAGCTGTGGTAGCTTCAAATCTATTAAAACCAACACAGCGCAGATATTATAAGAAATGTTTATAATATGATGCAGCTAGTGAGGCCAGTATGAAGTCACTACTGGGCATCACGGAAACCCTCCAACTCTGCAAAATACAAACTATACAGCAATTATTCGGACATTAGCAGCTGATTGTTGCAACAAGGAGCACTGGGCTGTTTATGGTGTCATTAGAATATCGTAACAATAATTTATTTAAGGAAGTCTAATGGCTTCTTCTAAAGTTATCACAGGCAATAAACCACAAAGAAAACTGAGTAGAAAAGCAGTAGTAGAGCTTTGTTTGCCACACTACAGTCATCTGGTGAAGTGTAGAGAAGAAGTGCATGCATGTTGTCTTTTAATTAAAAAGACAGATAAAAACTCCATTCATCACCATGAGGCAGTTATCACAGGCTAATGTGTTTTATGTAATGACTGCACTCAGCTGAGAAAGGATAATCTTAATTTAGCCTTTTCAGTTCGGGTTTAAAGTTGTTTCACACATTAGTCTTGACAAGTGTGTTTCTGCCACAGTTGCTTGTATAACAGGAAATGAACTTGGATCTAAGCTGTGACCAATGCCAATTTACTCATGCACTGTAGTCGAGACTACTGTACAACTCTGAGGTCAGATCACTTCAATATATCTGTTTGAGTGTACTTTATATATCTGTTTGAGTGTACTTTATACCACTAGATTCCTTCTCTACATTTATCTGATATCTGATCTTTTAAAATGTGATGCCATGTTATTGTTACTCAGCATTATATAAAGTTGCTGATGTGATTTCTCCACCTTGACCATAAGTAACTTTTAAAAGTTATGCATTAATGCATCACTAATACTAGCAAATAAATAATAGACTAGGGCTGATAAAATCACATTTTTTTTACTTTCTTTCTTGCTAATAGCTTACTTCTTTACTTAAAGGGGAGCTTCGCCTGTTTTCAAAATTCATACATGTTATTTAGTTTAGTTTATTTGATTTATAATGATTTTTTAAAATGAAAACATGGTTGCACCAGATTTAGCAAAATGCTAATTTCCATCTGCAGTCCTACATATAACAAGTAGATGCAATAAATAAGAATAAAATTAGGCCCTACAGGTGAAATGCAGACTACAGTAAACCTATGTGCCTAACATAATAGAAGCAGTATGTAGGCTACACACTGCATAGTACAAAATACAATATAAAAAAAACACAGTAGCTACCTTGTAAATCTCCCCAGCGAGACTTGCTATAGACTCTAAATCCAAAAATGTAAAGGTCTCAGAGGAAAATAGAGACATTAATAATAGTCATTTGCTTTCACGACCAACTCTTGGTGGTGAACCAGCCCACTGCTGACCAGCCACCCTGGGCTCATTTAGACCTGCTAGTAATGTTGATAGGCTATTTTAGACACAGTAGTCTGTGTTACCTTCATAATAACACTCAACTATATTCTGTGGCTCCAAACATATTTTCTTTTTTTTTTGGTGAAAAATGGCTCTTTTGATAGTAAAGGCTGCTGACCCCCGGTCTAAGACAAGTCCAGAAACATTAGTAAATATAAACAATTCTCTTCCATAGCCTTAAACTAGAGTGCTAAATCTCACATTTGTGATGTCATAGGGTGTAAAGTCTGGAGATACTCCATAGACAGTGCATTGTGAAAGATGTTCTAGATGACTCTGAGAGCACTCAGGGGAATGTTCTGGGTATATGGGCACATTTTCTCTTTCACAGCTGAGTACACTACAACAGAGTAAAGCTCATTTGGGTATAAACAAGTAAACAAACATTCTGTGGGTTCACAAGGTCAGGCCCCATTCATTGTCTATGGATCAGCTCCAGACTTTATACTCTATGACATCACAAGTCTGAGACTTATCTCTGGTTTGTAGCTTTGAGAGAGAGGAGCTCATGTTCACAAATATTGATTGAACTTTCCTGGGCCGTGGGAATAACATAGCTACTAGAATTATGTTCCCCTTCGAGTACATTTTTAAATCCAGGACTTCTACTTGCACTGGAGTAGACTATATATTGTGGTACTTTAAGGCTAAAGATGTCCTAAAGTGAGTTTCTTTCCTACCTGCTCGGGTCTAAACTGCAGTTCGTCGTTTGTCCACATGATGTCCTCATCGTGTCTCTCCCTCTACCCACACATTACAGTGTACAGGTCTTAATAACAGTTTGGTAAAAGATGGTCCTCACATCGTCAACTATATTAATAATGTCCACTCCCTCAGTGGACAGCCTGTTGTTTAAATGCTGGAAAGCTTATACTCAAACAGAGGGAGAGACAGTTTCCAAAATGGCGGCTGTCAGTCGTTAATCAGTCTGATGCAGGTGTTGTTAATTAGCTCTGAGGCAGTGACGGACTCATGTGGTTGCACTTCACACCAGGAACACTAAAGTAAGTCTCAGTGTTATAATACGTTGACTTTTAACTCGGTTTTCTCATAATGTGCCCTCTAAAATACTAAACAAGGCGGTCCACACATTTAATAGAAACCAATGCATTCCTATCACTACAAGTTTAGCATTATGCTGTGGTGGTAGCCTATGTCTTTTTCTGTATAAGGCCTCCCGTATAGTGGCTGTGACATTCATTTTTTCTCCCTCAATCTGGCCATATCATAAGTGAAGTAGATTTTATACTATCTGAATGCTGGACATGTTATTTTAGAAAACAACAAGCTCATTTTCCACCAGATTTTCTCCAGTTTAGTTGGTTGTATGATGTGTTACTCAAACAGAAGAACAACAATCCTCTGAGAATCCCATATTTTCATTCAGACCATAGAAAGTCTGTTATTTGTCGTTTCAGTAGTGTGACCATAAACAAGAATAGAGGATTACAGCTTGTTCAGCAGGCAGACAGTGATCTTACCCATAATGTCAGGACTGACTGTTTTCTTCTTATGTGATAAGGTTAAGTTTTACTCCCATTTCCCTTCCTGATGCCACAGGAGGCTGCTGGGTGTGAATATGTGCTGCTCAGCTGAGTTTAAGCTCTCAGACTTCCAGACAGTGAAATATAGCCACTGGCAATGCTTTGTGAATTGTGTGAGAGAACAACAGTGTGACTGTGGCCTTTCATCTGCACTAAAGTTTGCATAAGCAGGGCAGTACTTTGTATCTCTCAACGTCACAGCAGGTGTGTCACACCAGGTCATTTATGAGCCACAGACTTTTTAAAAAAAAAAAAAAAAAAAGTGTGACAAACATTCAGACATCTACTTTTAAAATTATTTGGGAAACATTACCAGTTGAATGTGCTCTTGAACAAGTAAGGAGAAACACACCAGTGGGTCATTCTGCCTTTTCTGTCCCCAGGACATTACATACATAAAGATATATAAAAGTATGTGTATAATACGTTATATTATCAAGCAAAGTGTCCTGCACTTTGGCCTAAATATAATATTTGAAGATACATCGTGTAAAACCTTTTATAAAAACCATCTAGAACACTGAAACGAGGATTTTAACCCATCCCTTCTCTCTAACACTACACCATGAAATATAAATATTAGAATCCTTCAGTAATGTTGTGTTTTGTGTTACTGTGTGACTCTATTTCGAATTCACCAAAATTAATTAAAATTAATTCTCTGACTTCATATTTTTGATCATATTGTAAGTATGACAGAGAATGTCAATCTCAAAGTACAGTCCTGTGACCCAAATAATTTCTTAGATGTTTTTTTCAAAGATAGTTTTGGTAAATCACTTGAAGGTGCCAAGTGTTCTCATGCTATCAGCACTGATGCCATGTGGCTATAGTTCATGTAACTGAAACTGCTTGGCTAAAAACTCAGTACTGTTATTTATGTCATGTTATTTTTCGTCCTGTTACTTTTATGAACCATCTTTCATTGGGAAACCTATTGAAAAATAAATAAATTGTCCTGAGATTGACCATTACACATTTTGAATGTTATATGTGTTATGAGATACAGTGCTTAACAAAGATTTAAAAAATGAAGTTTAATTTTGCAAAGTTACAGTACACAAATGCCACTAATTTGGCTGAATGAAGTAGCTGTGGTTCTGCTTCTTACTACTAAAACAGCAGATTTAAAGATTTCTGTTAGATAATTCTGTTACATTAATTATATACAGTACAGGCCAAAAGTTTGGACACACCTTCTCATTCAATGCGTTTTCTTTATTTTCATGACTATTTACATTGTAGATTCTCCCTGATGGCATCAAAACTATGAATGAACACATGTGGAGTTATGTACTTAACAAAAAAAGGTGAAATAACTGAAAACATGTTTTATATTCTAGTTTCTTCAAAATAGCCACCCTTTGCTCTGATTACTGCTTTGCACACTCTTGGCATTCTCTCCATGAGCTTCAAGAGGTAGTCACCTGAAATGGTTTCCACTTCACAGGTGTGCCTTATCAGGGTTAATTAGTGGAATGTCTTGCTTTATCAATGGGGTTGGGACCATCAGTTGTGTTGTGCAGAAGTCAGGTTAATACACAGCCGACAGCCCTATTGGACAACTGTTAAAATTCATATTATGGCAAGAACCAATCAGCTAACTAAAGAAAAACCAGTGGCCATCATTACTTTAAGAAATGAAGGTCAGTCAGTCCGGAAAATTGCAAAAACTTTAAATGTGTCCCCAAGTGGAGTCGCAAAAACCATCAAGCGCTACAACGAAACTGGCACACATGAGGACCGACCCAGGAAAGGAAGACCAAGAGTCACCTCTGCTTCTGAGGATAAGTTCATCCGAGTCACCAGCCTCAGAAATGGCAAGTTAACAGCAGCTCAGATCAGAGACCAGATGAATGCCACACAGAGTTCTAGCAGCAGACCCATCTCTAGAACAACTGTTAAGAGGAGACTGCGCGAATCAGGCCTTCATGGTCAAATAGCTGCTAGGAAACCACTGCTAAGGAGAGGCAACAAGCAGAAGAGATTTGTTTGGGCCAAGAAACACAAGGAATGGACATTAGACCAGTGGAAATCTGTGCTTTGGTCTGATGAGTCCAAATTTGAGATCTTTGGTTCCAACCGCCGTGTCTTTGTGAGACGCAGAAAAGGTGAACGGATGGATTCCACATGCCTGGTTCCCACTGTGAAGCATGGAGGAGGAGGTGTGATGGTGTGGGGGTGTTTTGCTGGTGACACTGTTGGGGATTTATTCCAAATTGAAGGCACACTGAACCAGCATGGCTACCACAGCATCCTGCAGCGACATGCCATCCCATCCGGTTTGCGTTTAGTTGGACGATCATTTATTTTTCAACAGGACAATGACCCCAAACACACCTCCAGGCTGTGTAAGGGCTATTTGACCAAGAAGGAGAGTGATGGAGTGCTGCGGCAGATGACCTGGCCTCCACAGTCACCGGACCTGAACCCAATCGAGATGGTTTGGGGTGAGCTGGACCGCAGAGTGAAGGCAAAGGGGCCAACAAGTGCTAAACACCTCTGGGAACTCCTTCAAGACTGTTGGAAAACCATTTCAGGTGACTACCTCTTGAAGCTCATGGAGAGAATGCCAAGAGTGTGCAAAGCAGTAATCAGAGCAAAGGGTGGCTATTTTGAAGAAACTAGAATATAAAACATGTTTTCAGTTATTTCACCTTTTTTTGTTAAGTACATAACTCCACATGTGTTCATTCATAGTTTTGATGCCTTCAGTGAGAATCTACAATGTAAATAGTCATGAAAATAAAGAAAACGCATTGAATGAGAAGGTGTGTCCAAACTTTTGGCCTGTACTGTATTAATCACTGTTTTTTTAATTATTGTGGTGGTTACTGTACACAGGTGATCCCAGACTAACTGTATCTGTAGTTGTGTAACATTAAGTGATAACACTGGGAGGTGTGGACACATTGTCTCTATAAGCCGTCACGCCAAGATAACGTGTGAACGTTGAACGATGACCTAATTTGGGAAACTTTCCATGAACTTTGCTCGCACATCAATTAAATTATTATCACATATTCTCCACAACCTCTGACAGAGACAAAGGGTGAGGGGCAAATTCAAAAGTCTGAGTAGGTCTATATGAAAAAAAAAAACAATCATAATTTTCCCCTTTTTAAGTAATGGGAATTTAAAAATGTGTACAGTATTCAAATACCTGTTCTTTTACATTGTCACCAACTCCTCTTCTGACTGCATCAAAGGGGAACCAAACATTGGCTCTAAAAAGGGCCATTCTCGTTTTTGGGTCTACTGCTGTGGTGAGCAGTCCCTCCATGATGAGCAGCATTGGAAAAACACTGATTTTTTTTTTTTTTTTTTGCTTCATTTTATGTTTTTATCAGTTTTAATTATGTGTCCATTTGTTTTGGAGCGAAAAAGACCTCTGAAGATCATTCGACTCCTGGGAAATATCTCCTGAACAAGCAAGCCTAACTGGGAGTTCACACTTAGCTCATGGGAGAAGTTTCAGCTTGTTGCAATCTGCAATCCTCACTGCTAGCTAGATGCTATTAAACCCTCCACACTGCAAAATTAATTAAATAACTGTTTTGAAAATGAACATTTTTGACCACAAGCTCAAACATGGTAAATCTGCTCTCCTCTCCTTATCATATCCCATACCTTTGCATTATCTTTTAAGGGCTGATTCACTCTAAATAGCCTGCACAGGTCATACCTTCTCATTATCCCACCTGTTATTTAGACATGCAGATACATTTTCTAACACCACTTCAATACAGTGGAGTTCAATATAATTTGGTTTGTGCTCCTTAAAGCTTTGAGAAAATCCATTTTAATGTCTTTTAAGGTCTTTTTAAAAACACCCTCCAGGTCAGTCTGGGTAATTTCCACAGAACATACTGTCAGCATGTTTTCACAGGCGCTCTGTCTTCTGTAGAAAGTGGTCCAATGAAAACCAGGGCTTTCACAAGGGAGGGTGAGTGTGAGTGTTCAGGGAGAATTACTCAATAAAGCTCACAGCTTGTAACTAGCTCAACAGTCATCGGCACAAAGTTCAGTGAACAAGTGGTGCAAGAAACAGCAACAAGAGGAGAGAGTGTGTGTTATCACAGAGGTTTAGTGGCATTAGGAGCAGCGCTTCAGGATCCCAACGACGGCTATAGGGATTATACTCAAACAGGGTCAGGACAGCCACTTCGCAAGTGTCAACTTTTAATAACAATGAGATTTATGTTGTATGCGTGGGTCTTTTTATTGGGACAGGGTTAGGTTTACAGATTAGAGTTAGATATGATACCTGTAGACCTGAACACTAAATAGGGAATGCAGTA